ACAAGGTGAATCTCAACACTCTTCCGTAGTGCGCTTTCGAGACCCGTTCGAATCTGCCGTCACTCTTCGTTCAGCCATCTCCCCAAAATTCGTCAAAGCCCGTGCATAAAAGTCATCGGTTTCCATCTCGCTCCAAACGGAGACCGAAGCCCTACCAAGCCCGCCCTCGATCCCCCGCACGTTGCGCACGTGCGCCTAACAGCGCTCTTGGAAAGCTCGCCTGCAAGCACCACCATTATCTGTCAATAACTGTTGTTTGGCCCCAGCAACAATTGTTGTTTGGGGCGACAAGTTCGGGCTGAGCAAGACAATCCGGCCGTTGGTGACCCTCCCAATCTCTATATCGGAGGGTTCGTCGGTTGCTTTAACTTTGCAGATGCTCGCCCTATTGGTTGAATTAGCATTCCTCAATTTTTAGATTCCGATCAGCAAAAGGCGGGAGTTTTCACATTTAAAAGGAGAATGGGGCCTTCACGCACTGAGCCGGGGCGCTTTCAATCAGAGGGAGGGCCTGTACGCCGGCTTATGAGCCGCCGTCATCACCAATTGCAAGGAGTGCTTCTGTTTTAGGCGATATGCCGGCCAGCGCTCACATTCCTGGCAATGCCGCAGTGCTGCCTGTAGATAAAGGGTGCCTGCTTTGTAACTTAGAAAACGACTTCTCTAGCTGCAAAATTGCTGGCTCAGCAACGCAAGATGGACATGCATTTTTCCGCTAGCCGGGTCTCTGATTCTGACCAGTCTGACCTTACAGGAGGCATACTTCCAGCACTGAAAAGAGCTGCAAATGAAAGTAAGTGAAGCTTTGAAAATCTGCTTTCTTGGAGTTTCGGAGGAATGAATATAGCATTTTTATACTTATAGCACATTCCATGAGTCGTCGGATTAGTTTGGAGTGGGGGGTTAAAATGTTTGATTTCCAATGATGACCTTCCATAGTTTGTTCTTTTTAGGCCAGCAGCATCTAAAGGCCAGTAACTCCTGAACATTGAGCAGATACTGATTCAAAACTGGTTGTGCCCGAAATGAAAATGCTTCCTTCGATAAGCAACAAGGCTGCCGGGCTTAGGCTATGGGAAATCATGACATGCCGCCGCAAAACACTCGTAAAGCTCCATGATGAAGTTCAGTTTTCGGAACTTTCAATCCAATCTGTCTTGAAGCTTTGAAGCTATGGAGACGGGTTGCAACCCAGGATCTTCACCGATGAACTTTTCCCCCGCAACACAAGGTCGAATAGGAGATGAGAAGACAAACACGTCTTTGAACAACCGTTCTTTCGCTTTCTAATACAGTTCCGACTCAGGCAAGCATTTGCCTGCTTCCTATCCCTTTCAAGAAAGCGAAGGCGTTTGTGTCTGAGTTCCTGGAGAGTTTCCCAACTCAAATGCCTGCTTCGAGCTCCGATTTGCATTCCTTCTCGGACTTCGAGGGACGACGAGGATTTTAAGGGCACAAGAGTGCTTGCGGGCGGCAACGGAGGGAACCGTCGTCCCCGAGACGGTTTCACCTAAAGAGCTACCGGCCTGCTAGGCTTCCGAGCTCATTTACAACCAATATGTCGAACCTTGTAGCAGCTTGAAATAGTGTTGTATCAAGGCCACTTCTGAGTAACTGTCCACGGAGGTTGAAGTTGGGAATGATCCACTGGAAGTTTGATATGGTACTGCCCCGCTGCCTTGAATTAATTAGAATTTGCCTTGTAAGGTCCGGTCTTCGATGAACCAATCAAGCAGCAGAATGATATACGAGACGCACTACAGGTCCTTACTTTTTGTAATGAGTCGGAGCATCGAATTGTTGGGACGTTGCAATGATGGATCATTCAGATGACGATTCGAATCCTGAAAAGCGTCGTATTCCAATCTGATCCGGGCTCCTTAATGCTGTACATACTCCTGGCAGCATCTTTTAGAAACAGACCATTCATACCCAAAGCAGTCCTATCAGGTTGCTGCTTGGTTGAGAGGTTCCGATCACTACACATTTCTGCTAATCCAATCCCTTAATCCAGCGAATCCTTGCTCGTCTACATGCAGCTCGTACTCAATCCGACCAGCCACTGGAATCAAACGCGGACAAGTACAGCACCTCCGACGACGATAATGGCACCCGTTTCTCCCCGCTTGTACTCAAGACGACGATGGAGGATTGGTACTTGTGCGCACAGAAGCTTTCACGTCAATTCTACCCCTGTGACGAAATGGAAGGGCACGAGGGCTGCATCACGTTTGAGGAAAAAAGTGTAGCGTGGTGGTGGTGCAAGATAAAGATCATGCACGCAGAGGCCAAGTACAAGTGCACAAGCTACCTATGGTGGGTGTCGGCGGTATCGATCGCGCGACGGTACCGTCACTAAATTGAATCACCGGTGTCACGCGTCGCGACAATTTATGTACACGGTACTGACGACCGTACTCGGCCGTACTCTAGAATCCGGTCCGAGTTCATGAATTAGAATTTTTCTGACATGTCGATGAACGGCAAACTCCGAAATGTCCGGCGGTACGGTACCGCGTGAGTCTGCGCGTACGAAAATTCGAAATTCATGGTCTCGGTCGGAACTTCCGACTCGAACCACCTGAGAGTACCGCGGTACCTAGCTTGAAAGAGTAGTGCAGCAAGTTGAAAGAGGAGTGTAGGATAAAGCGCTTTTTAAGACCAAGCAATGGCGCTCAACTTTGAGGCCTGTATGGTGCTTATTGCGATTTGTCCTCAACATAAACTGATGTTGGGTCTTCTAGGAAGGCCTCATAGCGCTCTCCCAACATTTTTCTCTGCTTGTCAGAGGTTTCTATAAGCTGCATAAGGCTCTTCTTAGTGTGCGATTTTGATGCTCCTCTCCAAGTGTAAAATATAACACTGTCTTTCAAATTCATTACACAGACTTACGGCCGAGCAATTTTCTCTGAGTACTTGTACCGCCCGAGTAAACGAAAACCCGAGTCGCCGTGACGCGAACCGCCGGTAACACTGACGAAATTCAATACGCGCAATCACGAATTGGTAGCGGTCCGAGTCGAATT